CATTAAATTAACTGTGGCAGCGCATGGCAAAGCTTTGTGACTCATTGCCATGCGTTGTGATACCTTGTGTTGCAATTAAATATACACCTGTATCATTTTATCACAACACAAACACCAAAACAATTTTTTACATAAGTCGATTATTTACAGTTTTGCATACCTTCATTTTTTTACCTTTTCGCAAAAAGGCGCAATTACAAATTTGCTAATATTTGTTATTTATTAACTCAATACAGTTTTATCTTTTAGATTTAGTCAAAAAATATTTTTTTTTGTGCACGGATACTGATTTTGGTGTGTTTTAACAATTGAATTGTGTATTTTTATCGGTTTAATATTAATTTGAGAAACATTTGCGCAATTATCGCAGGGCCTACAAATTTAGTATCACCATCTTTTTATTCTACCGGGCCTGCGCTTTCAGAAAATATATGGTTTGGGGGGTCTTTTACAAACGCTAGCAACGCACAGTTGAAAATCAAATCAATAGGAAAAAATTGCAGAAAATTCAAAAATGGCTTGGCCAGCTGATTTGAAAAATGTCCTGGAGGGCTTGGCAGCGAAAGGGTTAACGGGCATCGCTGTAGCTTTTCAAATAGCGGGGATTTCCCGCTCGCGTGCGCCGCACGGCGCGCCCGAGCGGGTGGATGTAACAGGACGTGTATACACGCCAGTTACATCCAAGAAGCTCCCGGCAGGCCGTGTATACACAGCGGCTGGCCGGGAGGTAGTTAAACATCGTAGGGATCACAGATTCAGACAATCCCCTGTCTCTCAGCATCTGGCTTTCAATAGCCATACCGTTAAAGCCAGATGATGTCAGCCTTGACCTTGGGACAGAAGATCCATTTGAAGTGGAAGTTGCAAGGGCAGACCTACGACTAGCCTCACCATGTCTGCATACCAAGGGCCTTGAGGCCAACTGGGAGCCACCAGAAATAGCAATATCCCTGATGTCTGATTGAAACTTGAGTCATCCTACGTAAAAGACAAGAGTTCGATTGCCCCCAATTCTAGAACATTGATTGGTAACTTGGCTTCCTCCATGACCATAGCTCCTATGCTGACAACTGACCAGTCACTCCACCTCAGCCAGTGAAACTGGTGTCCATTCTTACAATGTTCCAGCAAATTGGAAGAAATGACCTCCCATTCATCAAAGCAGGGGAACTGAGCCACGAAGCCAAAGAAGCTTTAACCGTCTGGTTCACCCACATTTGCCTATCCAGCTAAGAGGGTGACCTGTCCCATTGTTAAAGAATCTCTTTGCAGAATCAGTATGGTGCTGAAAAGAGGCAACCATTAGACCCAGAACTCTCATACACGTATAATTTGCAAGAAATCTGAAGCCTATAAATATTTTCCAGAGGAAGAAAAACCTTGGCCTGATATGTGTCTATGATCAGTCCTAGGTACACCAGGCGAAGATATGAAGGAGAAACCAAAGACAATTTCCCAAGATTCAGGATCCAAACAGATTCCTCCAGAATGCAAATGATGATCCAAAGATCAATTTCCAGATCCGAATGAAAATATACCTAAAAAAGGAAGTTGTGCAAACAAGATATCACCAACATCCCCCACTATCTCAACACGGCAAAGACTGGTGCCAAGACTTTGAATACCAGTGGGGCCAAGGCAAGGTCAAATGGATGGGCCACACACTGAAAATGGTCCTACCCCACCACCCCACTACCCCAGCGTAGGAAACATTGATGAGCATGACAAATCAGGACATGGAGGTAAGCATCCTTCATGTCTATGGATACCAGAAATTCCCAGAAATCACTTTTGTTATGTGGAATATAACATGGGTGCAAAAAATGAAAAAAAGGCCTCAGTCATGAAGGGGTTAAAGCCAGTTCGCAAACCCAGCTGTTTGAAATTTGAGACAACCAGGAATAGATGAACTCAGGGTCCCTGTTCCCTCCAAAGAAGACCCTGAGAGTGAAGCAGGGATTTACAGGTGGATTTACAGGTGGAACAAATAGAGCCTGACCCGGAGAGGGATTAACTTCCCCACAAGTTGCACAGCCCACCTTAGTGCCCACCACACCAGCACCACTCCCCCTAACAGGGTCCCCCATGCCCAGGGGCGGACTGACAACACATTGGGCCCCCAGGCAATATAAGATTTTGGGGCCCCCTTGTGCTCCACCCATATACAAGCCCCACCCACCCATGGAATTAGTTCTCCACAATATTTTCAAAATAACAGGTCTATTCACTAAAAGTTGAACTTAATTGAAGGGGAATTGGTAGGAGAATTAAAAATGTAGACCAATATAGGTGATTTGGAATGCGATTTGCAGAATACCATCAGCTATATTGGTCTACAAATCCTACCAATACATTATACAGCAATGCAGAATAATAGCATATGAATTTGGTACATACTCTGTGCTGGCGCTCTGCTCCAAGGTGCCCGGCCTGATGTCTCAGGCAGAGGGTCTGAGGAGGGGTGCGGAGGGTCCCAGGAGGGTTGTTGAAGGTCTCAGGAGGGGAAGATGTGCAGGCAGCAGAAGCTCTGTAAGCCGGCGCCCTGTGGTTCCCCAGAAGGCTGCTGCACAGGACCTAATGCAGTGGAATCAATTTTAAATATTAAATTGCTGAAGTGCAGAGGTCAGTTGTAATGCAGAAGTCAGCAGCGTAACGCAGAGTGCAGAGGTCAGCGACATGATGCAGAGTGCAGAGTTCAGCGGCATGAAGCAGAGTGCAGAGGTCAGCGTTGTGACACAGAGTGCAGAGGTAAGTTGTAACACAGAGTGCAGAAGTCAGTGGTGTGACCAGGGATGTGAGGGTCTCACCATGGCTGTGTGGTTCTCACCAGGGTTGCATGCTTGTCTCACCATGGTTGCGTGCGGGTCTCTCCAGGGCTGCGTGGGCGGCAGGGTCAGAACATGGTTGTGCAGAGGGTGCGGGCGGCTGGATCTCACCATGGCTGCGTGCTTGTCTCAGCATGACTGCGTGCTTGTCTCACCAGGGCTGTGTGCTGGTCTCACCAGGGTTGCGTGCTGGTCTCGCCAGGGCTGCTTGCTGGTCTCGCCAGGGCTGCGTGCTGGTCGCGCCAGGGCTGCGTGCTGGTCGCGACAGGGCTGCGTGTTTGTCCTATCAGGGCTATGTGGGCGGCAGGGTCAGAACATTTCTGTGCGGAGCATATGGGCGGCTGGGTCTCACCATGGCTGTGCGGGCGGCGGGAAGGAGGAGCTGTGTGGTATAGGTGCATCCTTTTTTATTGCAATGCAGAATTGTATATGGTAGAGAGGACTACACATCCCAGCAATACTTTAAACAGCAATAGCATTACTGTATAAAGTACTGCTGGTATTTGTAGTCCTCTATAAAGGGTGCCATTCTGCATTGCGGAATAGCACCTGCTATAGGAGGACTACAAATACCACCAATACTTTAAACAGCAATAGCATTACTAGAGAGGACTACACATCCCAGCAGTACTTTAAACAGCAATAGCATTACTGTATAAAGTACTGCTGGTATTTGTAGTCCTCTATAGAGGGTGCCATTCTGCATTGCTGCAATGCAGAATGGCATAGGCTAGAGAGGACTACAAATACCAGCAGTATTTTATGCAGGGGCCCCAGGCTGCCGCATCACGTACCTGGCTGCCTGCAGCTCCTCTGGCTCCCTTCTCCGGGCGGCCGGTGTTTACCGGCGGGCCCCCCCTCTCTGCACTGGCAGTAGCGTGCGTGGGTTACTGGGGCCCCCCACCATTCCGCACCTACCTCTCCATATCCTCCCTCTCCACGGCCCGGATCTCCTCTGTGTCCCCGTTCCGCGGCTCCCGACATCAGTCTGCCCACTGCTCCATGGCCCGGAATGCTGGAAAGACTGTCGATCCCAGCAGGCCGCGCGCAGGGCGAAGGAAATGGCAAATTGTGATGGGGAGCAGGGGGCCACGGGCCGACTGACCGAATGGTCAGTCCGCTCCTGCCCATGCCCCTATTCAACAAGCCCAAACCCACAAACGCATGAATGGGGTCCCCCAGAGCCGAGCTTCTTTTTGTGACTAGTGTTCTACTCTTGCAAGTGGTGGTATAGCCTATCGGTACAGAGATCAAGATCCACATTGTGTCCTTTAGTGAATGAACAAGAAAAGTTTATTAACATATTTACCTTATTTCCCACTTCCACATGTGGTATTCATGCAAGGGTGATGTCAGCATTCTTTGGGCAATATCATAGGAAATGACGAGTAGCCCAAATCTTGCAAGAAGACACAATAGCACTGTGTTTTAACACCGTCTTGTGGAGATATAGGGTACTTACATTTCCCAGGATATGGCTCAAAGGATGCTGACATCACCCCTGCAGCACGAAAGCTAGAGGAGTACAACTAATTTTTGTAACTAACTAACTTTTCTTTTAGGCCCTTACTAATTAAATGAACATTGCTTTGAGTGCAACAACTGCTTTAAAGTAGAACTGTGGCAAGGATATGGACATTTAAATATTAACATATTCTTAACAATTAGTAAATAATTACTATAACAATTAGTAAATTACAGTATGTTTAAAACCCAAACTTTTGTTTTAATTTTGGATAACATAGGTAATGCTTAAATCCCATATGCATCCCTTTAGAGAGATTTCCCTTCACTTCCTGTCCTGTCGGCACAAAAGATGAGATGTCACTGTAACAAGTAACCCTGTTGGAAGGTTTCAGCTCTATTAGGCTCATTCACACGAGAAACGGCCGGCACGCACAGCTCCGTGCTGCGTGCACGGCCGTATCGGGCAGCTCCCGGGAAGGACAGGTGCTGCGTGTGATTAGTATGCAGCCCCTGTCTTTCTCTATGGGAATATACAGCTGTATGCCACCCTACGCTGACCCCAAGTGTAGGTCCGTACAGGTGCAGGTGTCCCGGCCCGGACGCAGACAGGATCCATCCTGTCAGCGTACAAGTACAGACACCCGCATAGACGTGCAGGGGGGTGAGCATATAGTGGCATATGCCACCCTACGCTGACCCCAAGTGTAGGTCCGTACAGGTGCAGGTGTCCCGGCCCGGGGTGTACAGCTGCGTAGTCCCATCGAGAAGTACAAGGGCTGTGTATTAATCACACGCAGCACCTGTCCTTCCCAGGAGCTGCCTGATACGGCCGTGCATGCAGCACGGAGCTGTACGTGCCGGCCGGTTCTCGTGTGAATGAGGCTTTACTGTTCTAGTGACAGTTTTCTCATCACTTTCAGGTCTGGTATCAATAATGATAATTAGATATACTTTAAAACAAGCCTTTACTGACCTCTGTAGCTGCAGGCACTGTGGAGTAATTATTCTGCAGAACAAAAACCTCTGTTTCCTTTTTAATTTTCTTGTCTTACCTCTGCCAGTAGTGAGTTGGCAGCCTGCCAGGTTTTTTATTATCTAATTTAAACACAGAGCAGGTGCGCAAGAAGAGAGGAGATAGCTAAGTGCTAAGACCAGATGTCACATGTATTGTGAGTTTACTGCTTCTATTATGACATTTGAGGACTAATTGCTCTACAATTACTGCAACTATATTCAAATATTTGAATGTCCCTAGCCTGGCCACAGGTCTACTTTTGGTTTCCATATTGGGTTATGGCATAATGACATCACTCCAATGCACATTCTTAATAAAAAAACAAAAAGAGGAAAAATGGTCTCTAGTCACTTCTAATAAAAAAAATCAGTTTCTACATGGTCTCAACTTCATTTCACATTGAGATTAAAGCCTTGTTCCTCCTGCAGCTAAACACCACTCTCAGCTGCCAAATGCCAGATACTCTGTGACCAGTAGAGGATCTGATATTTGACAGTTGAATGATGGGAGGCTAAATATTGAAGAGAAGGTGAGGAAGAAAATGAATAGGAAAGGAGGGAATACGTTGCATCAAAACACGCATTTCTTGATTGTATAATATTTAACTGGATTATTTTACATTTTATAGCATATCCCAATGCCTGTGCTATATGGAATTTTTCTTCAAATGGGCGTGGCAGCTTTAGGAAGCATTAAGGTACTTAATTTAATCTATCATTTTACCATTACTTTTTTTATATACATATTCTTAATTTCCAGTTGATCAACCTGTGGCTTATGTATTATGCATACGTTTTGCTGTTGATATGTCACATATGTCAGTCTGAGTTGTCCCAAGAATACACATATTGTGGATCACTGGGGACAGCATCTAGAAGTTTTTTGAAGTTGTCAATACTCTTGCCTATACTACTATATGGAGCAGGGCAGAGGCGGCTCTCTAATTAGGCAAATTAGGCGGTTGCCTAAGGCCTCACGCTCACAAGGGCCTTGCGGCCGCCTAATTTGCCTAACACATTACAGGGGACCTTAGAGCTGCTGTGCGCAGGCAGCATTAGGAGCTCTGTCACATCCAAGCGTGCATCGTGAGATGTTCGGCGGCTGCGATGCACGCTTGAATGTGACAGAGCTCCTAATGCTGCCTGCGTACAGCAGCATTAAGGTACCCTGTCACCTCCAAAGGGTGCTGTTGGGGGGGGGCGGAGAAATGTTACCACCATCCCCACAGACAACTCTCCCCGCTGCAGACTCACAGACTGTTGGAGATTTGTCCTTACAGGCTGTAATCGGCTGCAGCAATCTGTGTCAGAGGGGGCAGACAGCCGATTACAGCCTGTAAGCAGAAACCTCTGACAGTCTGTGAGTTTCGTCCCCCGTCCAGTCTACTCACCCCTCCGCACTGTGCTTCTGTCAGCCGCTATTGTCCCCATTCCAGCAGCTGGCAGCAATAGCCAGCCTGTTATTGGCTCTTTTAAATTGCAGTAGCCAATAACAGGGTGGCTATTACACCCGCCCACTGCCTGCCGTCAATCAGCAGAGTAGGACCTGATGGAGAACTTTCTCCTTCTGGTCCCTCCTCTGCTGATTGACAGCAGGCAGTGGGTGGGTGCAATTGCCAGCCTGTTTTTAGTTATTGCAATTTGAAATATGAAGTTAAACTAAAAGGAAAAATACGAAAAAAAGTTTAAAAAATAAAGTTAAATAAACTAAAACTAAAAATATAAAAAAATTAAAAAGTTACAAAGTTAAATAAATAGTAAAAATGCAAAAAAAATAAAGTTAAATAAACTAAAATGAAAAATACAAAAAAAATTTAAAAGGTTTAAATTTTTTAAAAAAGTTAAAAAATAAAATAAAAAGCACAGCCTCCTGAGACCCACAGCCTCCTAAAACCCCACACAGCCATCAATTTTCCACTATGGTTGTGAGTGGGGCGTCATGTTTAATTTTTGCCTAAGGCCTCACAAAGTCTAGAGCCGCCTCTGGAGAAGGGAGTTCCACATTTTTCCTACTCTAACCCCCGGTGCAATTTTGTGTGGATTAAACTTGCTTTCCTACAACCTCAAACTGTGGCCACGTCAGAAACCTTAGATTAAAGAGATTGTTACATAATTACACTAATGAATGTGTAGGTAGCTCCTCTTAAATCCCTTCTCTCTATATTGAATAAATGTAATTTACCTAATCGTTCCTCTTAGATGAGGTTCTTTATTCCACTTATTAATAGTAATATGTCACGCTACCACATTTCTATCACATCTCTCTAATTATGTTTTGTGGAGCTTTGTGGATATTGGATGACATAGTAGCTGCTGATTTTGTAACTTAGCTCTAATTGCGGCAAAAAGTAATTTTCTCAACAATTTATTTCAGTTTTAAGTTTTTTCAGTTCACAGTTTATTTAACACCCTACTGTTCTAAACCTGGTATGTAGTTGTTATTTGGAAATATTATCCTAAATGTCTTTATTGTGTTTTTACTAATTTTTCCTTTTATCGGTCTATCTTTACAGTTCATAGAACGGTTGAAATTACTCTTTATTCCACCTAAGCATCAGCCTGACCTAATTTATCTTCGTCATGTCCCTCTACGGAAAATTCACCTATTTACACTAATCCAAATATCTTGTTTGATAATTTTATGGATATTGAAATCAACAGAAGCTGCAATTATTTTTCCTCTGATGGTAAAAAATATACCAGACGCATTTTCTCATTTTCTCTTTGCTGATTGTTGTTGTATAAGCCAATTATGTCAATGTTCATATAAAAAGATAAGTATTATTTTGTGATGGGAAAATAAAGTTTTTTGCATAAAAAAAAAACAGTGTGTCTGAGAAAACAAATAGTACATCTCTGCAGTACATGTGCATTTCTCCATGTTTTTATTTTATTATAAATGCTGCAAGTATTGAAATAAATATGTGATGATTTGCCAGAAATCAAGATTACTCCTTAACTTTCTGTTCAAGCTAAAAACACAGTCTTTGCTGTGTTGTCAGCCATGCATTCTTTTGCTGGATTACAGACCTCCATAATATAAGGGGAGGCACAACAGTGGAGAACTGGACATCGCTGACCAAGAAGCACTGCTTGGTATTTCAGCAGAGGCACAGTTCTCAGATCAAATAGAAAGTATTGTACTTTTGGCAGAATTGGACTTTTGGCAGAATCATCAGGTATTTTTCTGTACTTGCAGTGCTTTTAGGAAACAAAACATGGAGAAATGTGCATGTATAAAAGAATATTTTTTAATTTAAATTTAATTTTGCCCAAGCATACAATTTATTAAATTAAAGTTTTCACCTAAATCCCTGATCTTTTGCTTTCTTTCAGCTGCTGGCCCTTGTAGGTATACGGAAGGCAATGGAATGTATTTTTTCTTTACATGATCTAAGTTGGCTGGATGACATATTGCCACAGCACTCTGTTAGCGAAGCAGGGCAAAAGTCAGAAGAAATAGATTCAACTGACAGTGAAGATGTAAGATAAAATCCTATGTATTGTACTGACAAAAGGTTTTAGCTCTCAGCAATAGGTGTGTTTCTACTTCCTTAGAAATTTAGCTCTGAGGCATGTTTACTGCTTGGAGAATGCAATTAATTTCAAAGTATAAATATGATTCTGTTGAACCTTAAAAGGAATGCATCTGTCATGACTATGTGACAAAGGTTTGATAGGAGTTAAAATGAGTAAAGAGGACCTTGATCTTTGTCACTAAGGACCCTTTCACACGGGGGTCCCTGCAGGAATCCCCTCCTGATCACCCGTGTGAAAGGGCCTAATTCTTTTAAATGTTATTTTAGAAAAAAGGCAGATGCGTTTTTTGCACAGTAAAATAGACTATAAATCAAACACTGTCCTATGCTACATTTACTGTTAGTTCTGATTAGTGTGATTTTATTTAGGTGTAAGTGTTATTGGTTATGTAGTGTGTGTATTGCCAAAAGTATTGGGACGCCTGCCTTTACACGCACATGAACTTTAATGGCATCCCAGTCTTAGTCCGTAGGGTTCAATATTGAGTTGGCCCACCCTTTGCCGCTATAACAGCTTCAACTCTTCTGGAAAAGCTGTCCACAAGGTTTAAGAGTGTGTCTATGGGAATGTTTGACCATTCTTCCAGAAGCGCATTTGTGAGGTCAGGTACTGATGTTGGACGAGAAGCCCTGGCTCACAGTGTACGCTCTAATTCATCCCAGAGGTGTTCTACCGGGTTGAGGTCAGGACTCTGTGCAGGCCAGTCAAGTTCCTCCACCCCAAACTCGCTCTTCCATGTCTTTATGGACCTTGCTTTGTGCACTGGTGCGCAGTCATGTTGGAACAGGAAAGGGCCATCCCCAAACTGTTCCCACAACGTTGGGAGCAGGAAATAGTCCAAAATGTCTTGGTGTGCTGATGCCTTAAGAGTTCCCTTCACTGGAACAAAGGGGCCAAGCCCAAGCCCTGAAAAACAACCCCACACCATAATCCCCCCTCCACCAAACTTTACACTTGGCACAATGCAGTCAGGCAAGTACCATTCTCCTGGCAAACCCAGACACATCCATCGGATTTCCAGACAGAAAAGGGTGATTCGTCACTCCAGTCTCCACTTCTCTAGAGTCCAGTGGCGACGTGCTTTACACCACTGCACCCGATGCTTTGCATTGCACTTGGTGATGTAAGGCTTGGATGCAAATGGTCGGCCATGGAAACCCATTCCGTGAAGCTCTCTACACACTGTTCTGTGCCAATCTGAAGGCCACATGAAGTTTGGAGGTCTGTAGCTATTGACTCTGCAGACAGTTGGCGACTAACTAACTATATATCTTCTGTGGATGTAGGCTGCCTCTAATCCTGCTGTCTCTTCGTGTAATCCGAGAGAAACTCAATGATAATGAGATCAGGGCTCTGTGGGGGCCAAACCGCCACTTCCAGTACTCCTTGTTCTTCTTTCCGTTGTAGATGGTTCTTAATAACATTGGTCGTATGTTTGGGGTCATTGTCCTGCTGCAGAATGCATTTTGGGCCAATCACACATCTCCCTGATGGTATGACAAGATGGATGAGCATCTGCTTGTATTTCTCAGCATTGACTGACCAAATCTCCAACTCTATTTGCAGAAATGCAGCACCAGACTTGCAAGGAGCGTCCACCATGTTTTACTGTTGCCTGCAGACACTCATTATTGTACTGCTCTCCAGCCCTTTGGCAAACAAACCACCTCCTGCTACAGCCAAAGTAACATTTTGACTCATCTGTCCAGAGCACCTAATGCCATTTTTCTGCGACCTTGCTGCCAAAAAGCCATATCACCGATGTGTAAAGAAGGCTGAGTGACTCAACTATGAACGAAAACATAGGAGCCGGGGGTGTAGAAAAATGGCTGTATTTGGTTATATGAATATAAAGAAATTCTGCGCTATGGAAGCTGTCTCAAAGTGAAAAATATCAAATATAAAAGATGAAAAGCTGCTGTGCTAATAATAGAAATAAATTAGATCAAACAGATGCACTGTGCTAATCAATAATCTTAATGTGCATGAATAATAAAGTGCTAGATATCAAATAAATCACATATAACTAGGGTTGCACTGATATCAAGTACAGTACTCGGTACAAGTACGAGTACATGTACCGATACTTTTGAGCTCCAAGACTAGACTAGAGAAAAATTCAAAAGTTAGGAGGCAGCTGTCATTTGTAAGGCGCACACAGAGCTCCTGGGATTTGTACATCTCTGTTTTAATGTACGATTTAGTTTTTATAAATATAAATAAAGTGATGCACAGATTCCAGTTTTGCGAGTACGAGTACTGGTACTTGCCGAGTATTTACAAGTACGAGTACTGATACATTTTTGTTTATTGTCATGTGACAGTTTTTCTAAAACAATACTGACTAATGATTTCAGGACAGTTGTGGAGTGCCAGAGCCAGGTCCCAGCTGCAACCGCTGCAACCCTGGTAGTTCGGCACTGTTACTCGAAAAGTATCTGTGCATCCCTACATATAACCAATATACTTAATAAATTCTCATGAATAATAAAACATGTCTCTCATTTATAAAGTCCACCATTAATTGATGCAAAAAAAGTGACAAAGTGCTAAGATGTAAATAACCATCAGTGATAAGTCCTTCTTATAGCTATAGTGCACAAACTCCCGGTGACTGAGAAACACACCGCACTCACCAGACTTCCATATTTAAAGAGGCATAACAATCCCACATCGCAATCACGTGAGCGTTTGCTCCTCCACTCGCAGTTAGAACTTCCTCCTCGACTCTGTGCTCTTTCACTAGAAAGCTTCCGGTTCAGGTGTGGTCGTTTACAAAATGTATCCGTTCCCCAGAGAGGATAATAAATACATAGTGTAATATGCCAGAACAGGTTTTTATTTTAAAAAGGTTTAAAAACACTTACAAGATTCCCAGAAACAATCACTTTTTCAAAAAATATTCCAATCCATCACGAACAGGCCAGTTAAATCACACAATTAAAATCCTTCCAACTTAGCGTGTCCCAACCTGTCACAATCCAGCAGGTAACAGAGGATTGGACTACAGCTGCGGATCTGTTGCGTGTAGGCTTTATGGGATTGGGTCAGTCAGACGGCTCACTAATACACCAAGTGCGATGGGGAGCCGTTACACATCATGTATCCCAGCCTAGAATTAAGGAAAGGTAAGAACCGGTGTACCACTACCCAGTTCTACCTGTAGGTATTAGATTAACGATTACGGGGGTCTGATGGGACTGTAGTCCGCAGGCAAGCCTAAGTACGCACTCCTGGTATATACAGTCCTATGAAGCTCCTATTAATATGGTTAGCAATGTAACAGCTCTAATGCTCCGTCAGTATATAGCTAGTAATAACTGGAGACACTACTCCACAGCGGTATGGAAAACTTTAGGCAGAAGCACAGGCAGGCAATACTCCAGCAATATGTTCAGCAGTATGAATCAATTTAGGCAATAGCACAGAGACGTTTTTTTATTCATTAGACATGTGCACCGGCAAAAAATTTGTTTAGTTTCGTCTCGTTTTCATTCGGATTTTGCGTTATTTAGTTTTTCGGGTCCGAAAGTCAATTCGTTTCAGATTCGGACAAAATTCGTTAGCAGTAGTCTGTTACGAATGGTCGTTTTGTTTCGTTCATTAATTGCATATGAAAAGTATTGACACCTCGGCTCACAGACCACAATGGCATTCAGGAGCTCATGAATAGTATTATGGGAGCTCCCGAATGCTATGTTGTATTTCACAGCTGAGAATGTCAAATGTGCGGAGCGAGCCGTGACATCACGGCTCGCTTTGCCCATCTGTTTACTTTTGGGCTGAATGTCATTTTGCAGTGAGTTTTCGTTGGGTTCGGACAGTCGTTGTGCAGCGGGACTTTTTTTATTTTGGCGGGTCAGCGGGCGACCTGCATCGTTATTGACACTGGATTACATTGATGGAGCCATTTTTATTTATGTTTTAATTAAAGGAATAGTCAATTAAAGGATGTTTTCTAAAAGTGTGGTTTGTTTATTTACTTTGAATTTTAACCCTTTAGTGAAGAGGTAGGGGTACACGTACCCCTTACTCATTCAGAAGGGAGCAGCGGCATCTGGGTGCCCCCTTAATTAAAGGGATACCCCGATGCAAATAAGCCCCTTGGCGTAGACCCCCCAAAACCACCGGGTCAGGGTTGTGGGGTAGAGGCCCTTGTCACCATCGGCATGGGGACACCCTCCCAATGCCGAGGGAATGTGGCCCTCTGCTGCAGACTTAAAAAAATGTTTTTTCAAATGTCACTTTGCTGCAACGAACGGACGAAACAAAAAAGAAATAACGATTTGTACAGATTCGGAATCAGAACTTCGGATTCGTTTCCATTCATTTTTGCTGTAATTCGGATACATCCGAATCTCCGAATTTCTGAAAATTCGTCGGAAGCGAATCACACATGTCTATTATTCATGGGAATGTATTAACTATATTGGTTATATATGATTTATTTGATATCTAGCACTCTATTATTCACGCATTATGATTATTCATTAGCGTGGTGCATCCGTTTGATCTAATGTATTTGGTTGTAGGAGGCAGTTTGTTCGCCGAAGGGCTGGAGAGTGGTACAATAATGAGTGTCTGCAGCAACAGTGAAGAATGGTGGAGGTTCTTTGCAAGTCGGTGTTTGCATTTCTGCAAATAGAGTTGGAGATTTGGTCAGGATCAATGGTATCCTCAATGGTGAGAAATACAAGCAGATACTTAACCATCAGGGGCTGACTGGCAACTTTTAGCCCAGGGGCAAGTACAACCCAGAGGCCCATGGTGCAGCGGCTTGGCCCACCTCTTGCTTTGCCTCTTCTCCCTGCCCCTGCCTGCCACTTTTGCCATCCATGTTACGGTAGTGTGAATGGTCGGGGGATGTGAGGACTCACTAGTCAGTCCATGAAAGGGGTGCTGACTGGGGGATGGGCTGCTGGGCTCCCTGCATGGTTCCGCTC